ATTGCATAAAAAATTTATTTATTTTTTTTTTACTATTCAGAAGATTCGCCTAAAAACAGACTATTTGCTGTTGCTTTATCACTGATACAGGATCATTTTATGTGCAAGCCTTTTAACAGAAAATGCATTAAAGAAAGATGATTGTTATTCATATTTCCTCTCAGTTACCAGGTAACCTTCTGAGCTTCATTCATCTTTATATTCTGCAGTGAACCAAACTAGCAGTTGCAATGGACTATAATTCTTTAGAAAGAATGTGAAATGATAGGATCATACAATAGTTGACACAGGTCTAAACGTGGGCCTACCAGATAATCAATAATTGGGATGTTTAGTTGACCTACATCTGTTGAATTAGGAATCATATATTTTCATTTACTATATAATTGTGAATTATGGGCTCATTCCTCTTATGTTGATATGGTGGGCAGTTTAAGAGCATCTGATACTGAAATTGCCCATCTTTAAAAAAAAATAACAGCTCGATCAAAAGAATATGGCCAATATGAAAAAAGTTTGAACTCTCTTATAACAATGCATTAGAATTAAACTTTTAAACATGCTTGTTTCATTGCTTCTCTTATGCTCCTTGTTATATTGATGTTTAATTTTATTGATGTTTAATTTTATTAACCCGACATGAAGAGTCAGAGTGGAAAAAATATGCGGCAAATGCTGTAGGGTCAGGAGTCCAGCCTGTTGTGGCCATTTATGCTAAATTTTTGTAATTTGTTGTTTCTACAAATTTAGTTTTTGTCTTTTGGTATATAGAATATATTTAAAGCTACAGTGTGTAATAATTACAGGGATATACAGTCAGAAATGTAATATATTATACATAACTATGTTATTTATCATCATCTACGAGCTCAGCCTCTTAACCTTAATATTTGCGTTGCCTTAGAATTCGTTATTTATAATTACATAGGAGCGGGTCTCGCAGCCATGGAGGCAGACATCTTTGCGCTACGGCAGCCCAGAGCCAATAAACTAGCGATTGCGAGATCGCCAAAACGTCACAACGATGTAGAAAAAATAACGGGTATATTTATTATCTTAAGTCTACATGAAATCTATACCCTACACAGACTAATGAAATACTATATGTAAAATTATCTATGTAAACAAACCTCATCACTTGAGAAGGTAGGTGATGCGGACGTCGTGGAAGACATTTTGTCCCGTAATGCTCGCCATACTGTTGGGGGGGAGAAGCGGTGGGGGGGAGATGTTCTTGTTGCTGCAGTCTGCAGTCTGACCGCTAGATGTCGCTAAAAGTTACACACTGTAGCTTTAAGTTAATTTAGAACCAAAATGTGTTATTTATTTTTTACATTTGGAATAGTTTGGAGTAAGTTCTTAATTGTCTGACCCTCCCATTAATTTGAGTGATTAGGAGCACACCAGGTGTTGGAGGATGTTTGGTAAAATGTCTAGTGTGGACGGGAGGTTTTGAAAAATGATTTTTTGACCACTTTTTTGGAAGCTTAAAACATTAAATTTCGTTTCTACTAAGTTCCAAGACACTTGAAGTATTTTTTTTATATTTTTTATTTTTGCTTTTTAAGTCAAGCTGGAAGTGTGTACAAAAACAAAATCACCTGTTACCACCCATGGCCTTCATTGGAAACTTTGGTATTCTATTTTTGTTGGAACAGAAGGCTGCGACACAGCCCAAGGCAGAAACATCGAGATCAAAAGGCCTGGTCTATCAAAGTCATTAATAGTCCACCTGTACAACAGAGGTTTAAATAGCTGGTGAAGATTCTCAGCCATCCAGGTAATAGTCATTCCAAAAAAGTTAAAAAACAATCCCCTGGACTTTGTTTCCAAGTTTGAAAACGTTTCGCTTTCCATCCAGGAAGCTTTTTCAATTCAAAATGTGAGAAATAGTGTCGAGTTCGAGGGTTTATAGAGTGGACAAAAAACGAAATTTTGTTTTGGCTTAAGAAGACATGCAAATTGAACTGGAAGAACGGGTCCACCCCTTAGGAATGGGCTGTTGTTTGGGTTCTTTTTTAGCCTGCAATGCCCATTACTCGTCTATGTCACTGAAGTGGGGGTTGTTATAGGGAATGGTTGGCCTGGCTGAACAAGCGAGATGTTCTGTTCCCCTATATGGGGGTTGGAATTGCGATGATGGCTGGAAGGAATCACTGAATTGTAGGTTTTTGAAAGCTGAAATCTGAGTCCAACCCATCAGTTTAAGGTCGGTTTTCCTTTCTTAACATAGATGGCTTCCTTCACACCCCTTTAAAACCACCTGATTTCTTTGTCCACCTGTGTTCTTTTGTCAAAGTTCACATTTTGGACAAAGCAGCAGGCACGTGCAGAGGGGGGGGCTAAGGGGGCTTGAGCACCTGCCCCTTTTGTTCCATGATCCCAATGTGCCCTTTTGGTCCCCTTTTTTTTTTTTTTTTTTTTTTGACACATGTACTGAAATTATTATTATTATCTTTTTTTTTGGCAAGAAAAACAATACAATAAGCCCTCCGGTCACATTGTTACCTTTGACCTTTTGCCGGTGACGACGCACTTGCCTCTCGCACAGTCAGATAAGGCGGCTAACTGCGGAGCTAAAGGTAGCGAATATTCCACATTACACTGTGGCCGCTGCTCATTTGGCCCTAAGCAAGATCAACCATGATCGGACGGATGGCTATGTCTTATGTCTGCACCGCCTCTCCAATGTCAACCTGAATAGACATGTAAGTGAAACCAAATGAGCCCCATGGATGATGCAGTATTGTTTGATCTAAAACACTGTTTGCTCTGTGCTTTTAGTCTTTTACATTGAAAATTATGTTTTTTAATTCACAAAAAACTGTTCTGTAATGAACCCTAACCCTACACCTAACCCTGATTACAGAACAGTTTTTTTGTGAATTAAAAAAAATAATTTTTGGTGAAAATACTGGAGTAGGCTTGCTACTTGTCAGACAACGGAAAACTTTGAACGTTGTATAATTTCTCTACTTTAGCAAAGAGTAGCGGTTTAAACGGAGGAAAGTATAGGACAGGCGCGCCTTTCTCTGAAGAACTACTGAGCGGGAGGAGACAGCCAGGTGAGGAAAAGCTGTTCTTATCTATCGATTCAGTATTTTTATCATACAGACATTAGGCTGTTGTTCTTGTGCTATGAGCTAGCTGCTAGCTAATGACTTTGCTAGCAAAGCAAGATAACTAAAAAGCTTCCCTGTGTCGTTAATGATAGTAGGACATTCTTCAGTATTACTTATGCAATAGGGGCACATCGCCCGTCAAAAACCTATCATCTCCATAATGGATATATGTCTGATTTTCTAATTTCCTTTGCTGCATGATGTACATTTCATTTATTCTAGCGTTAGGTAAATGTATCTTAAAGGAGAGCTCATCCAAAACTACCATGATAGATATATGATAGATATAATGTATGAAGCTGGTGAAAACAAAACTGCGCAGCTTATGCAAGGAGGATCGGTTGTCAGACCTTCTTTTGTTGGCAATCGAGAAGGATGTGCCAATCATTCACAGTGAGGTTATTAACATTTTTAAAGACATGGCTAACAGAAAACTGCTGCTGTGAACAAAAGAGAACAAAAATAGCAAAAATGCTTAAAAGTTGGAAATTTGTTTTTAAACAGTTAAATCACCATGACGGAAAATAAGTTTTTGGATCATAATCTTGGATTTAGTTTGGGGGGAAAAGAAAGGCAAGAGACTGAAATAAATAAGACATTGACCTTCACTCAACACAGAAAAGATGAGACAATGAGGAAAAATAGAAAAGACAAACTGACAAGAAAAAACGAAGAGGAAAGATTGAAGAAAATGTATATAGGTACTTACAAAATACACTAAGACACGAACAGAGTAGGCTTTTCTCATGGTGACATGCATTAATAAAATGTTTGTTTTGTTCTTTTTTTTCTGCAGTTCCACGTTAAAGTTTGATGCAGCAGCTCTGCTTTTCTGAATGGACTGTCTCCATCTCCACTGTCAGTACAGCAAACCAGGCAGACATTCTTTTTTATAGATTACAGTACACTAAAAGGTTGCATTGTGCCCTTGTATGCGTTTTTAACAGTTTAATTCTGTAAAGACAAAATATGTCTGGTGGTCCAGCTCTGATTTACATCTTTGGCTAAATTGCAGGTTTGAATATTGTAATACTTTCCTATAACAAAATAGACCTGCAGAAAGAAATTACTAATAAAATATTTTACATATGCATAGTTCTATGTTCTATGTAGAGATTTCCCTTAGCTTTGATTGTATGTCTCACAATTTTGTAATTTATCATTGTTCATTAAAGTCTGAAAGCTATGTGACTTTGTTAATATTCTGTCCTAAAATGCGATAAGATATGCCCTTCTTTTTTTTTGAGCACCTGCCCCTTTAGTGGTCTCTGCACGGCCCTGCAAAGCAGACAGGCATTTTGAGACGAGTGTGAAGGAAGACAGGAAGAAAAAACAACCTTAAACAACCCCCATTCCAAAGGGACAGACCCGTTCGTCAGGTTCAAGTTGAATGTTTTCTAAGCCAAAACAAGTTTTTGGGCTACTTGATGAAGCTTCAAACTTAACCATATTTCTGACATTTGAATTGATAAAGCTTCCTGGATGGGAAGCGAAATGTCTTCTAACTTGGAAACAAAGTCCAGTGGATTATTATTTTTTTTTACTTTTTGTAAAAGTTTGAATAGCCCTCACATGTTTATGGTGTTGGTTGGATCATGCTGTGGGTCTGGTTTGTTGGTAGTGGTGTTACATCATGCAAAGTATATACCGATCATGACTTCTAAACACAACTGTACTATCATGTTTTGAAACTCCTCATCTTTTATTCTTTATTGCTGTTTGTGTTTAACACAAATCTAGCAACATAGACTAAACTGCTTGGTCCAAAATAGACGTTTTCCTGTCCAGAAATGTTACTTAAATGAGGATCGTGAAAGACAGAGATGACTTGCATTCAAAATGAGACTCTAATGTTTGTTTTTTTAACTATTTCCACAGATGTTCATTTTCCATAATGTAACCATTACCGATCCAGCCAACTTTACCCAGTGCACCACTAGGGGAAGCTTTGTCACTCACTGGCAGGAAACGGCCTACAATATGTTCACCTTCTCCTGGCTCTTCCTGCTGCCACTGGCCATTATGATCACCTGTTACAGCAGGATCTTCATCCACATCTCTGAGCAGATGACCAAAAAAAACGGTAAATGCAAAAATTAGACTCTTAAACAAAGACTCTCAAAATTTTAAAGTGGTCATAGAATGCAAAATCGAGTTTACATTGTCATAGATGAAACGAAACCCCATCAACATGTCCTTTCTATGCAAATCTCACAATTCTAAACTTACACCATAAAACTGGAGAATCCAAACGAAGCACCGAATTGACGTCAACTCGGGGATGTTTTCTTATTTGGTTCTGGCCTGTACTTTTGTCATGCCCCGTAATTGACATACAGTCCAGCCCACTGGTTCACTGGCCCAAGAAAATTAATAGAGGTAGATGTAAGACAACAGTTTACCTGTTTAGCCTACAGTTGGGTTTACTTGTATTTACAAGAATTACAAAGCAGGCAGTGTTTCTGTTAATAATGAGCCAGAACCACGGGCATAAATGCAATGTTCCAGGCTGCACATAGGAAGGTGAAAATTTTCAGTCTTCCCAAGGATCCAAAGACTCCACAGGCATGGATTATTTTTGTCTATCAAGATCCCTGCAAAGTTTGAGGCTCAGCTGTTCATTTGCTCAAAGCATTTTACCACAGACAGCTTTCAAAATTTTGGACAGTTCAAAGCAGGATTTGCTAAGCCTCTTTAACTGAAATGAGGGGATTTTCTGACCGTAAGGCCATCACAACCACAAGCTGGAAGTATGATTTTGTAACTAAGCTGTTGATAGCAATACTAGCATATCTATGAGGACCAGATTTGGGTTTCTGAAAAGGAGGACTGCTGGGCCGCTGACTGAACCGGAGCGGGCATTCGAACCGAGCCTTCAGCTCCGGGGCTGGTCCGGGAACCCGGGGGACGGGGGCAGGTAGCCAGCGGGGGACGGAGCGACAGAACCCGACCTGCTGACAGTAGCCTGGACACAGGAGGCCCCGTGCTTCCCCATGCCTGCCTTACCGTGCTTTCCCATGCCTGCCCAGTGTGTTTCGACTCTGTGCTGCACTGTAGTTGACTAAAGTTTTGAAATTCCACCCGGACATTTTTTTAAGGAATGAAAAGTAGGACATGTCCATGAAAAAGAGGATGTCTGGTCACCCTACCATGTCAACAATTTGATGTTTCAGTGAGTGAGAGCTTGTTGCTATGATGCGTCTTTGCTCAGCAGCTTTGCTCGCTGTAAACCAACCAATCAGCGCACAGCTCATCTAAATATTCATGAGCATACCTTAAAAGGAAGAAAACCTGTCATTTGATTCTAGAGCTTTTAACCAGGCTAGAATTAGGGCTCATAGAACAGCAAATATGCCATTTTCAGCCCAACCAATATTACACACCCTACAGTATTCAGAGACCTTAAGGACCAGCACCAAATACCCTATGGAATTATTCTATGACCCCTTTAAAACCTGAGCAAAGTACAGCTGCGTACATTTTATAATGTTCTCCTCACTGATGCGTGGTCCATAGAGGTTTCTCAGAGTTATTTTAGATCAGCTGAATGCTGAAAACTTAATGTGTGCTTTAACATATAATTTATTTTCACACTTATATCAACTTATTTAGTGGACCTCTTTTATTTTTTTTTAAACATTTTTATTGTTTTTTGTTTTGATTTACAGATTCAATGTTTTTGAAATTATTTATCATAGCCTCAGTTTACTTTCATGTAACAAAACTTGACATTTTACCAGGAGTTTATTCACCTGTAGAAGCGACTATAGAGTGAGTTGAACATATGATTCATAAAAGGTATGATAGATGTCCATTTTTCTTGTAGTGTCTACTGATGAACCACACCTTCGCTGCTCAAAGAACAACATCCCAAAAGCCCGAATGAGAACGCTGAAGATGAGCATCGTTATTGTTGTTTCCTTCATAGTATGCTGGACTCCTTACTACCTGCTGGGACTTTGGTACTGGTTCTTCCCTGACGACCTGGAGGGGAAAGTCTCACACAGCCTCACCCACATCCTGTTTATCTTCGGGCTATTTAACACCTGTCTCGACCCCATCATCTATGGCCTGTTTACCGTACGCTTCAACAGAAGACTAAGAAACAACTATAGCAGGGCTACCATCATGTCGGGGCTGGACACCAACATGGTCGCAGTGGAGTCTGTGAAATATACTTTATCTGCTTTACCTTCTAAAGGAGGATCCCCAGAGGGAGAAAACGATAACTGGGGACAAAATGAGCAAAAATCCGCTGACTGCAGCTTCTGAATGGATTCAGCTATTGAGGATGAGGTCATCATTTGGGCACAGAGAGTGATTCAATTCAATTCAGTTTATTTATATAGCGCCAAATTCACAACACATGTCATCTCAAGGCACTTTACAGTGAAAAGAAACAGCTATCAGGGCGAGATTGAATGTTTTTATTTAATATCAAATATTATTTCTCACCAATTATGTATAAATCTATTCAGCTATACACCTATTTCTTTCTCACTCTGTATAAAATTATCTTTCTAATTCACTAGTATCTGGTATTCAAGTAAGGTGGGTCAGTAAATGATATTTTATTCTGCATTCACAAATACTGTCAACATTTGGTCAATGCTGTCATCTAAAGACTTTTTGTGAGGCTGCAGATGTCCTTAAAGTCTCTACATTTCATTAAAGAGCATTCTGAGTCCATTAGAGGTATAGTGGAGGATTTCCACAAATATTTGAAAAGATCACCCTCTCCCCTCCAAAAAAAAAAATCCACATGCACAGCCCTGTACCCGCTCCTGTACACCTATTACATGAGTGCGAGAGCGTGCACAAGCCCACTTTTCCTTGTGCACGAGCCCAGTTCTCCTCGTGCATGCTCTGTTCAAAAGTTGCTGTTTGCATCACTCATACAAGCTTACTTTTCTTACGTAAACACAGGACCAGAATGATTTACAATTAGGAGGACCACTTATTTTGATGATCCACCCGGAAAAAGAACATCCTCTACTATACCTTTAAGAGAAACACAGCTACCAGGACAAGATGTAATGTTTTTATTTAATATTAAATATAATTTTTACAAAACTAATTTCTTTCTCACTCTGTATAAAATGATCTTTCTCACTCACTGGTATCCATATGTCTGTTCAAGTAAGGCCGGTCAGTAAATGATATTTCATTCTGCATTTACAAATAGCGTCAACATTTTGTCAATGCTGTCATCTAAAACTTTTTGTGAGGCTGCAGATGTCCTTAAAGTCTCTACAATTCATTAAAGTGCATTCAGAGACCCTTAAGTTACACATTTTCACATTCTCTTTGGCTCAGTCAGTATTAAAAAGTATCCATACCTGTTGAATTTTTTCCATATTCTGTTGCTTCACAGACATAATGTGTGATTTATCAGGATTGTCATGAGGTAGATGGAGACGTGATACTATTTCTTACCCTTGGAAAATGGAAACTGCTGATTGTTTGTATTCATTCTCCATGAATACTTTGTAGAATCTCTTCCTGCTGTAATGTTTCTGTCGACCTTGCACAGCTTTTGGCTTTTTAGTTTCCCACTCTGTGTAAAAACAGCCGAGGCCTGGTTTTATTTGATGTTGAAAAAACATTAAAAATCCCTTCTGTAAAAACAAGGATGAATTAATGTTTGACAGCTTAAAAGAGGTGGGTAGAAACTCACTCATTTCACGCAGTTGCATTTAAATTAGTGGATTTTTTAACTTTTTGGACTAGTTTTACTGTATTAAACTTTTACCTTTGACTTATTCTTACTTGAGAGTGAGTTATATTTTTGGCTACTTTTCTGTTCTTCCGGAAAATATTCAGTACATCTTTTTATTATTTATTTTATTATTTATTATAAAAAAAAATTTATTCACTTATTTTCTAAAGTATTTACCCAGGCTTCCCCACAACCCACAAAGCTACAGAGTGTCTGGGTGATTGTCGACTGTTCTGGACTCAAGGATTTTTCAACATTTTACATGTTTTTCTGTCTGTAACTTGTTTTTGATTAAGTGCATGAGAATTAATGTGAGATGAAGACCTCCACAATTTTCTAGGCTTTAAATAGTGAAATCCTACGTGATCAGAACAGGCAGGAAAATTGGCAACACTGTATCTGTTCTCCCTTGCAAGTTGTTAATAAATAAAGGCTTGAATGAAAAATACCAGATCTCAAATTCTTGTTAAAGTCGTAGCGAAGCTGCTGTTCTAACCGTTGCATTTCTGAATTCTCAGAGTGGTGCCCGACTTTACACGTGTGAATAAAGTGAATGTGATTGGTCGCGTATCAAATTTATCCCAAGCAAGTTTGGTTGTTTATCGGAAGCATCTTGCTAACCAGTTAGCAACTTAGTGATAGTAGGTTCCCAATGGGAAATTCCATTGGGACCAAGTAGCACTAAATTGGTAACTTAGAAACGACACTGTCAAGGAACGCTATAGACAGTGGAAACATGCAAGAGGAGGAGAGTTTAGTGTCAGAGGTCGTGGATGAGTCTCCTCTGTCATCAATTTTTTATTTAGAGGAGGAAAGCGGGACGAAGATGTTGTGGAAGAGGACGCCAGGGCGGCAGAAGCTTGGTTTGGTGTAGAAGGCTTACAGCCGTCCATGTTTGAGCCCTTGCCTCGCAATGCTGCCAGTTCTGTTAGCTCTACACCTGCTGAAGACACAGACGTCCATCCCTGTGATCACTGAGACGGAACTCAATGGGAAAGGAAATTATTCTGATTTTTTTATTTCAACCATTGCGTATATTAGCTGCGACATATGAATCAAGATGCTATGACCGAAAAAATGTGATTGAGAGATGATATATGATTGGCCGAATTTAGGTGTCCAAGCTGACGTATAACTAACTGGCCTGCATAAGACAACGGAAAAACCCGACAGATTTTAAGAATGGTTAAGAAATTTTTTTTTTTAAAGAAATATTTTTTTATTTAATATCATCTGATAAAGAGTACATTTATATACATGTTTAAGCCAGAATAATTTGACATTTAAATATGACTTCCCTACGACTTTAAATAAGACTTAGACATTTATTTCAGTTGCCAGCAGAGATGAAATGGAATTCTAGCCCGCTGACTGGAACTAAACTAACCTCCTCGAGGCCCACATTTTGACTCATGCAAGGACATGGACACAGCTTTAGGCTCTTTTGGTCCAAAAACTCCTGGGCTGATGCTGTGCTGCAGATGCCTGGCAGAAAAAAAAAAAAGCTTTTAGTTTTAGTGACATAACAGCCATTGGTTGTGGCAATTACATTTTTCATGCATTTTCTAATTGTTGTCTTGCATTAACTGAGAAAACGACTGTGGGGTGATTAAATGGTAAATATCCTTTACTGATATAGGTTGACTTACAGGAGGAGGGGAAAAATGTTTGATAATAAACCAGTGATGCACACTGCACTCTTTAAGGGGTGCTGACCTGATCACCTGTATGGGGTGCAGACCAAACACAAAGTAACGCTTGACTGTCAAGTGGAAGGAAAACGATCCATGTTTTTCAACATTCTTAATCCAGAACTAAAACCTGAAAATTGTGTCGTCCATTTTGTTTAACTCCCTACCCAATATTTTGTAAAACCACTGTTTTCTAAGCTAAAGAGAGATCCCCACAGACCACCACTTCCATTAATCCTGCTCCCCGACATCTGCTCGTAGGAAAACAAAACGGATAAATTCAGACTCGAACTGTCTTCAAAAAAGGAGATATGTAACTTCTGCGCCATTATTCAAACGGAGTCTGCAGAGCCAGCAGTACCGGACGGTGCTGTTGGTCTTGGGGAGCTGATACTGTACCGTGCCAATAGAAAACAAAGAGCTCTGCGTGAATGGAAACTCCTCTGAGACTGTTCCCAGGCAATCTTCAGCATCTAGTCGGGGAAGCACAGTCCTCTGCAGATGAAAATGAGAATACTTGCCTGCCAAATGCTGAAACATCCCCAGCCAGCTCTTCCGGGCCTCCTCCAGCTTCCACACCTTCTTCAGCATCGTCTGTCGTTGCTAAACCTGCCGATGGCACCACTGCTGCTTCAAACACGTCAGCCTCTTCAACCCAGGGGGCTACCACCCTCACAGTATCATCATCGTCGTCCTCTTCCTCCCCTGAGCCAGGAGAAGCAAGTTCTTCAGGAGCTGGAGGCAGTAGTAGCAGCTCAACAACAACTGCTGCTTATCTTATCAAGGCTGCGCTTTGAAAACAGAAATTGTCTAGAAAGCTGTTCTAAACGAAATTTCTTTTTGTTACACTTGTGTAACAAAATGACAAAATAAATCTGTCAAAGTATAAGTCTTTGCTTATACTGTATCAATAAGCTTAAAGTCGTAGGGAAATCATATTTAAATATCAAATCATTCTGGCTTAAACTTGTGTATAAATGTATTCTTTATCAGACGATATCGTCCCAAAATTGAGAACATTTCTACTTTACTTTAAAAAAAATCTTAAAATCTGTTTTTTTTTCTCTCATTATTTTATGCAGGCCAGTTAGTTATACGTCAGCCTGAACACATAAATTTGGCCAATCATATATCAGCTCAGCCACTGCCTCATTGCTGTTATCACCACAGTCATCATAAAGCGTCTTGTCTCAGAGCTTGGTCAGCTGTTTTGCATTGCGAATAATCCCCATTGACGCTTTTATTTCCAGGCTGCTGATCTGGCTATTGTATTTCCTTCCTCCTTGTCGATTTTCACTTTTTAAGGGCTGCCTTCTGACTTTTGGTCTAGACTGCTTCTCAAACTGTTCAACGTTCTCTTAACTAAAAATATTGGTGGTGGTTTCAAAACTCATTCCTATCCTTCATCAGATCTGAATGTTTGATTATTTCAGTTGTGTTTATAACCCATTCTCATCACTCAACTCTCTCCTGTAATCTGTCATGCCAGATGGTTTTATACCAGGCTCCCTCCTATCATTCATCCTATCATTTACCCCAGCAATCATCCCATCACCATTCACCTAACTTCACGTCACCATCCCATCACAAACCTTTGGTAGACCTTCAAGGCAACTGGCCCCTTTTTGTAAGCCTTCATGGCTCATCTCCTCTGTTACTACTCCCGCTGTTCTAGCATGCTGTCGTATCTGCCTCAACCTCTGCAATTTTGGGGGGGGGGGGGGGGACAGCCCTGTTCTTTGCTCCTGTTCATGCATATCTATCAAAATTAAGTGCTATGTTTCCTGCCGAGGTCTGAGCATCAAAGAAAAAGTAATTGTATTAATAAATTTCTCCTAATTGTCTTTTCTCTTTGTGTGAGTTTTTCAGATTGAAATAAAAAATGTATGATGAAGGAGACTCATCC